ACCAGGTGTCCCGATTTTATAGGGATGGTCCTGATATTTGGGGATTTTCTTAATTAGGCACCTATTACCCCCCACCCCGTCCCAATTTTTCACACTTGCTGTCTGGTCACCCTACCATGTGTCCTCTGGCCTGTCACCAAGGGACAAAGCTTCCCAAGTGCTCAGCATCCAGCAGCTCCCATGGTTCCCAATGGGGTGCGGGGGGGGGAATTCTCCATTGTTCTCAAGGGGACGCAGATACACACATTCCCCCTCCCCACTCAACTGGGAGTAGGGTGACTAGACAGCAAGTGTGAAAAATCAGGACGGGGGTGGGGGGTAATAGGAGCCTATATAAGAAAAAGACCCAAAAATCGGGACTGTCCCTATAAAATCGGGACATCTGGTCACCCTGACGGGGGGTCTCTGTGTAGCACCCCAGCCTGGGAAGATGAAAGGGTGCCCCCTGGTGGAGCTGGTGGGAACTGCTCTCAGTCAGTCTGAGGCAGGAGTTGGCTCCCCCTGGTGGAGCTGGTGGGAGCTGCACTTGCAATGGGCTCCATTACTATAGGAGTGACCATGGCTGACCCACCAAGGGACTCAGCTGGGAGCCCTGGAGGTCAGTGCTGGAAGGTGCCAAAGCTGGCTGGGGTTGAGGAACCAGCAGCCATGATCCAGCCAGGCAGTCCCCAAGCAGAGCCTGCCATAGCCACCGCACGAGATGTCCCAGGCAGGGCTGCCCTTGAGGCCTGCAGACAGCTGGGGGCGGGGGTGGCAGGGAGCCCACCTGGTGATGGAGAAGGGGGCCAGCTTGGTGGGCCTGGAGACTGGAGTCCTGTATCCCAAGCAGGGGCAGCTTCCCCCCAACATAGTGTGGCTGGGCAGGAGCAGGCAGATCATTCAGCCACTGGGGCTCTCAGCGCTTAGTGTGTGTGTGTGTGAGAGAGAGAGAGAGAATGTGCCTCCCTCTGGTGGCCAGAGACCCAGAAGGTATCTAAAGCCCTGGAGCTGGGCAAAATGGCCGTAACAACCTTTCTTGTTTTTGGTTTGTCTGTTTCATGGTTGCTGAAACGGAAGCTACTTCCCCAAAACCGCAGTATCTCTGGGGAAATCCCGGTGGATTTAGGTGCTCCCTGGTGGTTAGTGAGCCCCAGCTTTAGTTGAAGGGGTGGGAGTGGGGTGTGTGTGTGAAATTTTAGCAAAGACCCTCTTTCCCCAGAATACTCTTTAGGCATCAGAGTTAAACAGTCTGCTAATAAAGCTAAAGGCTGTTCCACACTCTCGGCAGTGCCTTCCCTTCCCCAGGGCCCTAACTCCAGCCTCTCACAACATCATAAACTCACAGGCTGTCCTGTTGCCACAGGGTCTTCCAGAGAGGCTGAGAGCTGAATTGCTGGTTGAGGTCAAGCAGCTGCCTCCACATTCACTTTGGGCAAAACCCGCTCAGGCCCCTTCCTCCATCAGAAAAACAGGCCCTTTGTAAAAGCACCAATTTCCACAGGGATTTTCAACTAGCCAGAGTCAGGAACCACTTCGGTTGGCCTTCGGTTTCACAAATGTGCCTCTGTGCTGTATTTAAATGCTAGGGACAAACACAAGGTGCTGGGGAACTTTTATTAGCAGCAATTATTATCTGTATTGTGGTAGAATTTGGAGGTCCCAGCTGAGACTGAGCCCTATTGGGCTAGGTGCTGCACAGACACAATCCCTCTACCAAAGACCTTATGAGGCAGACAAAGGGTGGGAGAGGAAACTGAGGCACAGGATGGGAGCAGTGACTCAGCCAGCAACTCAAGGGCAGAGTCAGGAACAGAACCCAGAGGTCCCAACTCTTACCACCGGGCCCTAGCCACCCAGACCACACTACCACTAGCAGGTATAGCCTAGAATAGCAGATAGCCACTGTTCTTGCTAATCATAACAGGAGAAAGAAGGTTGGATTTCAAGAGGGATCTAGCCACCATGAGACTCAGGAATGCAAACTGGGCCAGGGTCCTTACCAGGCCTCTCAGATGCAAGACCAGCCTCCATCTGCAGTGACATTGACTCTGGGCCCTGAATTTTCACTAATACTTGCAAATGAGTGGCTTGATTTACAGGAATCAGTGAAAGCTGTGGCCACTCTCATTTAGGGGCCTAAATAGGAATTTAGGGGGCTAACTTTAACACATACACCCCAGGTTTTGACGTCAGTGAATGGAGTTTGCAGTATGCAGTTCAGAGCACTAGGGGGAGAACTGGAGCACATGCAGGGGTGGTCGGTTACAGATAATGGAGGTTTCTGCCATAAAGACTCCATTTATGCAGGGTGTGTAGCTCGAAAGCTTGTATTACTTCACCCACCTTGTCTCTATAAAGATGCCACCTCAACCCAAGCAGCAGGCCTGGAAGGGGGGCACAAGGAGGGGTATCTCTGTTGCCCTGATGTGCTCAGCCCTTTCTGCACGGACACGCATAACCCTGCCCTGCTGGGAGCACTTTGTCTTGGACTCAAATTCTGGAGGGTGATTTTACTTTTTTTACTCTGGTTTTTCTTTTCCTTTTGGATGCACCAGGTTTCGTCACGAGGCCGGTATTGTATGGAATCCCCAGAGGAAAATACCCCCTACCTGGGCACTGCTTCCCAAGCGTTAGCTCTGCTGCTGTTGGGCAAATGGCATTATGCAGATGGTGCCTGATCCAGCAGATGTACTTCCACACACAGTACCGTCCCTGGGCCACAGGGTAGTGCTGCAGCATCAGCCTTGGCAGTACTGCCCTGGCCCACCAGTTGGCACCATGCCCTCTGCCCTCCTGCAGTATCAACCCGGGTGAGTAAGTGGTGCTGCAACCACCTGCAGTACTGCCCTGGGTCTGTAGGGGATGCTGCACTCACCTGCAGTATCCCCCCAGGTCAGTAGGGGGCGCTGCACCCCGTGCTACTGAGCCTCGGCCAACAGGTGACGCTGCGCTCTCCCCTCTGTAGTACCGCTCCAGGGCCTGCAGCTGGCGCGTCGCCCTCCTATAATACCGCCTCCCAGTCAGCAGGTGGCGCTGTGGCACACAGCACTAGCTGTTCCTGGGACCTTCCTGCCGGGCGGACGCTCTGGGCGCTACCCGCTCCCTCTAATACCCCTCGTTTGCCGCCGAGTTCCGGCCTGCCGCGGACGTCGCTCTCTGGGCCGCGTTGTGGTCCCGCGCATGCGCAGAGACCCTTCTCTCTTTGCCCTTCCTCCTCGAGCACCGGGTAAGGAGGCCCCCGGCGTCCTCGACCCGAGCGGGGCGGCCTGACGCGGGGGAGGCCTCTGGTGCTGGGAGTGAGGAGGGGCTGGGGGTGACGGCTGGAGTTGAAAGTGGCAGGGAGGGGGGGAGAAGGTGGGAGGGGAGGGGCTGAGGGTGAAATTGGCAGGGGAGGGGGGCGAAGGTAGGGGTGTGGGGGAAGGGGCTGGGGTTGAAAGGGGGAGGGGTGTGGGGGAAGGGGCTGGGGGGGTGGGGGGATCCCTGTCTCACTGGGGCGGGGGGGGGTTGGGCTGTGGGGGAGGGAGGTGGCTGCCTGGCCGGGAGGAGGGGTACTAGGTGGCTGTATGTTGGGCTAAGTCTGGGATCCTTCAGCCCTCTTCACCCCCAGGGCTCCTGTTCTCCCCTGCCTCTGCCTCCTGGTGGCTTGTTGCCTAATGGGTGGCCCTACATTTATCTGTTGGTTGTCTTGGCTGCTGTCAGCACCTCGGCCTCCTTACAGACCCAGCTGGAGCCTGCAGTCTCTTTAGCCAAGTGGTGCCTGAAAACAAGGGGCCCCCCAATGATGACTAAATCTCAGTCGGCAATAACTCCCCTTCCCCAGCACAGAGCTCCTAGTGGAGGGAGTACTGTGCTAGGGCAACAAGGAGCTGCATGTGCCCAAGAGGGGAAGCCATGGCTGAGAAGTCAGTGACAAAGCCCTGCCCGTTTGTTTTTAATTATTCAGCCTCCTATGTGGCAGAGGGGTCTGGTCTCTATCTGTAGACTGGAGGTGATACTGACCTATATTGCAGGGGGCCCACAAGGCCATTTTTATTACAGTAGAGGTCCCAGCCAAGACCAGGGCCCAGTTGTCCTGGGTGCTGAAGACACAGCCCCTGCTCTGAAAAGCTTACAGTCTAAACACACAGGATGAGAGGGGCAGTGACTTGCCCGAAGTTGCTTATCCAATCAGTAGCCGGGCTGGGAGTAGAACTCTGGTCTCTAGGCGCCCAGTCTAGTGCACTACCCACTAGACGACTCTGCTTCTCCCTAATGCCGATCACAAGCTTGAGGATCCTTGGATGAAAAGTGCTTGGGACATGCAGAGTATTAATGCACATTGAAAATGACCTTGGGGATCTGAGAGTCACTGACCATTTGTGCAGGAGTTAATGGGCCATTCCTATCTCTAACTTATTTGACCCTGAGTGTTCGAAGCCTGAGGGAAACTTAATGCAAGTGCTCCTGGAGAATGGTTTGGCTCAGCCACACAAGTCCTGGATGAAGGGGGCTCTGCTACTGGGGGCTTGGAAGGAGTCCCAGAACCTGAGGATGGTTCTGGATCAGGGGATGGGGCATGAAGATGCTTTGTTGTCTCCTGAGAAACTCCAAAGCTCTTTACAAAAGCAAATGACTTGAGTTTTGCACTCTACACAGAGTAGGTAAATTATATCCCCATATGGGAAAACTGAGACAGAGTGATTTCCCTATGATTGAGTGAGCAGCAGTGGGAAGTAGAACCCAGATGTCCTGAGTCCCAGTCACCTACCAGATGACACAGGACCCTGATGGGTTTTTCCCATCGTATCTGACTCTCCATTCCAGTATGGTGCCTGTGTTTTAAAGCTCAGTCAAGCTGTGGGTATTGGTCTCTTGTAGCTGAGCTGCCTACCTTATTTGTTTTGTGGTAGCTCTTAACAGCCTCAGTCATGGACCAGGACACCATTGTGCTAGGCACTGTACAAACAGAGAACAGCTGATCCCTGTCCAAAGGATCTTACAGTCTAAATACTTGAGGATTTTGTGCTCTGCTTCCATTCCAGGGTCTTCATCAGTGGCCTGCACTGTTCAACCCCTTGTGGGTACCCATGGGATTAGCATTGAACTTTTCTGGTGCGTCTGATATTGTGCAGTAAATTATCATACCCCCTTCTCCCAGCTGTTGTCACCTCTTTGTGATGATCCCAGTTATCTGTCGTGATCAATATTATCACCTTGGTAATACTGTTTTGAACTTTTGGCACATTCATTGGGAGTCCCACACCCCCGCTTTGCAGCATGTTTCTATTGCAGTGAATGATCGAAATTGTGGGGCAATGTGGATTCCTAATGTGGTGGTGTTTTGGTTTCTCTTCCAGTTTTGTGACCCCCTGCTGTCCCCGAACATGTATACCTGTGCAAAATTCGTCTCGGCTCCTGCCCTAGTGAGTAGCGGAAAATCCCATTTTTTAATCCATTCTAATACTAGGCATTTCTGCAATACTTTTTCAACATATTAGCTAATCTTCACAGCCCCCTGCCACATAGGTAAGTGCTATCTCCATTGTCTAGACAAGGAAGTGAGACGCAGGTGCCTGCAGTCTCCCATGAAGTGAGCGGCAAAGCTAGGAATAGAACTCAGGAGCCCTGACTCCCAGTCTTGTTCTCCTAGGACATTCTGCCTTTAGGGGAGTGCGTTGGAAAAAAAGTGGATTTCACGTCAGTCTGTATCTGCTTAAAGTAAGGGTGGCTAAAGCATGGCATATGCTGCATGGCCAGCCTCATTTTCAATATGGAGGTGAGGACTGTGGGTATTACTGATGCTGTGCATGCTGGGAATTGTAGTCGCCACAGACCACACTTCAGTATCAAAGATGAGGGTAGCTGCTGTCTACATCTTATCCAAAATGAATGGGGCTCTTAACCAGTTACCAATGAATCCCTCGGCACCCTAGTTTAGCGGTAACTTGCCCTCAACAGGCCAGATCATTGTAACTTTTTCCTTTTTGCTACTAATTAGCTGGGTGGCGTTTCCTGTCTCTGGAGGTGTAATAAAACTTCCTTCTGAGCTAAGCTGCCTGCTGCAACGTTGGGACTGCCAACCCACTAGACTTGTAACTGGCTGCTGGCTTTCAGTAACCCTGCCCTGGTGCCAGTCTGCCTGCCCTCAGGGCCCGCATGTCAGGACTTGGTTATTCCCACAAGACGCTTCAGAGATCCTGTAGTGTCAAGGGATCCCTAACCATGCCTCGAGCTCTGCTCCACCCAAGGCTGTGGCACATCTCAGACACTCTTGTCTACACTGACCCGCAGAGCTATGTTGTGGGGACCTGCTCCCCTACCACAGTGCCCTACTGTAGATGGACCCTGCTTAGCTACATGTTTCACCCTGGCTTCAGTTGCCTGACACTAAGTGAATCCCTGCTCTGATCTGCTGAGTTCAGTCCAGATGGCTACAACAAATACAGCCGCCCCTGCCTCCTGTTTCATCAGGTGGGGAGGGAAACACTGATTAACTGGAGGTGCTTCCTGCTAACTCTGATCTAGCCTGGCCTGGAGTGGCAAGTGCCAGCAATAAGGTGATCCCATGGTAAATGGGAGGCACTCTCCATTTACCATCTAAGTGTGAGGAGTCTCAGGGCTTGTCTACACTTAACAGGGGATCCACCTGTGGCGATCGATGCATCGGTGGTCGATTTAGCGGGTCTAGTGAAGACCTGCTAAATTGACCGCAGATCGCTCTTCTGTCAACTCCTGTACTCCACGGGATTGAGAAGAGTAAGGGGAGTCAATGGGAGGACATCGCGTAGTGTGGACCCCGCGGTAAGTAGATCTAAGCTACGTTGACTTGAGTTATGCTATTCACGTAATTCAAATTGCGTAGCTTAGATCGACTTTTCCCTGTACTTTAGAACAAGGCCTCAGTGAGAGAGGGTTGGCTCTTGGATGGTGCGTGTCTGCCCCAGGGTAAGTGACTGTCCCTGTGTCTCCCGGTTCAGTTCCCCTCTCCTCCCTTCTGGGTTAGTCTTGTGTTGGGGTTCCAGTAGGGCATAAATTCATATTGACTGTGGCTGGTTTCCAGGTAATGGTTACTAGCGAGTAACTAGTTCTTCAGCCAGCTCCATGGGCAAGAGTGATCAGGATTACCTTCCATGATGGACTGTCCTGGGCCATACTGGTCCATGAGGAGGCAGCATTCGGTAACCTTCATCCTTTGTGTTGCCTTCGCATGGACTGTGCTGTGGGAACACAGAGAGGCTTGAGGACAGTGCTTAGTTTGTGCCAGGGCTGAGCCCCGGCACCTCTGGGCGTGGCAGTTCATAGCCCCGGCACCTCTGGGCGTGGCAGTTCATAGCCCCGGCACCTCTGGGCTTGCCACATCAGTTATGAAAGTAAAAAAATTGCGTGAGCTCTGGCAACTCTTTCATTACAAATTAAGCTCTGCTTGAGAATAAGTTTGGTTTGGAATGTATTAAAACAGGAAGTGGCAACACAATGCCAGTGCTGCTACCAAGTGTGTGGATTCCTGCTGCCCTCGGGGAAAGTGCTACCTTTCCTCTGCCCCCACGGCAGAGACATGGAGTGCCACATTCAGCCATGGAGTCTATGGCAGTTGCTTCCACTTATGCCAGAGCTGGATTTGACCCAGAGAACTGCTGCAGGGCATTCATGGCCTGACTTCTGAAGGTACTCAGCCCCTTCCAGGATCAGGCCGTTCACCCGGCCACCGGAGGGACTTTCATGCAGATATACTGCAGAAGACATCCCGTCTTGACTCTTGGAGTGACAGCTGCTCTGGTGTCCCTGAAAATAATTCAGTCACTCTGCATTGGGCCAGCCCCAGCTAACAAGTGGGGGAGAGCCTGGCACACTTTGGGCGCTATATAAATGCAGAGCTGCAAGGTGGGGGAAATACTGCTCCAGTTCCTTTCCAGTCTCAGCACAACTGATCTGACAGATTATTGCAGGAAGCTGGCACTGGGTATCGGGTAGGGATTGTATTGCACTGCCTCTGTCTGAGTGATTACTTTGTCTGTCTGCAGGTGAGGAACAGCTCAAGGCTGCTGTGCAGACCAGTCTCTGCCTCCCTGCTGAGCAGGCCCGAAGCCAGGACAGATGAGGTAAAATGCTGAGCTTGGACCATGAAAGTGGCGAGGATCCTCACAGCTTGAATTGACTTAACCATTGGGCCCAGCAGGGGGCGTGCAGAGCAAATATTCCACTCCATAGCAGTCTTTGACTAGAGCGAAGCTGGGGGGTGGGGATCCCTGCTGGGCGAGGAGGCTCAGCTGGGCTAGCTCGTTCTCTCAGGCTTCTGGGCTTACTCTCTAAGGAGAGAATCGTAAAGCAAGAGGAAAATCTGGGCAACAGAAGAAAGCATGTTAACAGTGCTGCAAGCTCTCCCTGTGGAAAGGGATTGGTGATTCAATAGGAGGTGCTCTTCCTTACGAGTCAACTCTGAACCGATCCCCCAGCATGGGACTAGAGGGCGCTGTGCTGCTACAAGCTGTATTTCAGATCAGGTGTAATAGTGAGATCGGGACCACTTGTGGCCATTTAAAAATCCTCTGGCACATGCAAGGAGGTTAGCCCTGGAGTCCCAGCCAGCTCTCAACTTGTAATTAGTCTGCTCCCACAAATTCCTCATGTGGGCTCAGCTGAGAAGTCACTTCCTGACCAGAAGTATTCTACATGGCAAAACAGCTGCCAAATTCCACCCCAGCCATGGCTGCAGTTCAGTGGTGGGTGAAGAACTTCACAGAAGGATCGTGTATTAGAATTAAAATGTGTAAAGCACTTTGGGATCCTTTGAGTGAAAGGCACTATAGAAATGACGGGGGGGATGGGTGGTGTATGTGCAGCAGGAGCACTAGACTGCTGTAAGCCCAATATCTCAGGAATGCTTCTAGGCCAGTGCTTTATAATGCTGGAAATCCAGCTCGACAATAGTTTTAAGGCATTCATTTCCAGGCCTAGCAAGTCACAGCGCCTTCTCTTACTAAAACCCCAGGGAGATCAGAATTGCCCCTCCATATGGGGAAACCGAGGCACCAAAGTGAAGCAATTTGTCTGAGGTTACAAGGGGTCTGTGAGAGCTGAATTTAAGTGGCTCCCAGTTCTGTGGCTCACTGCACTAATTGTGCCCCTCTCTTTAGCCTAACTCACAACCTCACCCCTCTAGAGGCCCATGAAGTCAGTTCTCCAAGCCATGTGGGAAACTTGGGTTCTTGTGGTCCTTAGTCAGCTCAGTGTAGATGTTTCCATGGCCATGCCCTGGTAGAGAGCGGGCTAAAAACACTTGTAGAGCTCTATCTCCAGCTGAATCTCACTGTCATCCCTTCAACTCATCCTAGCTCGGCTCCACCCCAGCACCCCAGAATGCCCTCCTCCAAGCCGTGCGCCGGGAGGTCCACACCAGCGCCATCTCCCGGGACATTGACACCGCGGCGAAGTTCATCGGTGCTGGTGCTGCCACCGTTGGGGTAGCCGGCTCTGGTGCTGGCATTGGAACCGTATTCGGCAGCCTCATTATTGGCTATGCCAGGTAAGGAATGAGCCTGTATCGGTTAGCTCTTCCCCTGCTTTAACCCTGTCCCCTGGCGTGGTTACAGCTGGTGCAGGCAGGGCCTGGGATAGGGGTATCAAGCAGGGGCTTTGGAGCTGTGCTCCGGCTCCGCTCCAGCTCCAGGCAAAAACCTCCAGCTCCACGCTCCGCTCCAAAGCCCTGGTATCAAGCGGACCACGGGCCAAATCTGGACCGCCAGATGCTTTTGAACGGACTCCAAAATCTTTTTATTTACTTATTATCATTATTGATTTTTTTATTATTTTCTCTGGAGTCTGGACCTTGGTTATACCTTGACCAAGCAATTTGGACCCGTGACAAAAAATAATTGACTACGTCTGGCTAGGACTTCCCAGCACGAGCCTCAGAGCGGGGCTGCAAGTGAAAGCAAGACCCATCAGAAAGGCTGTTAAGAGTGAACTCAGTCTCCTGCTCTTCCTGTGCATCCATGTGGGACTTGGATTCTTTAAGCTTTCCTGTGCAGCCTCAGCCTGTTAAGATGGCAGCTCCTTATGTGGTTGTCCTCTTCAAAAGGAATAGTGATTGATTCCTCTGAACCCGGATACAGTGCCGAGTCTGTTACAGTCCTCTGGGGCTTTGCTCTCAGTCCTGGCCAATGCTCTTGGCTCTGTCAGTGGAAGGGACCGTAAACTGTCCATGAGGAGCATTTCTAAATCGGTCTGACCATTCCTTTGTATAAGCAGGAGATTTGGGGTAGGAACAGGACAGCTGAGGACTCTTACTGGGTATCAAGCCCTTCCTGTCTAGGGCACGGATTCAGACCCAGCCTGAAATCTGCCACCATCTGTGGGTCAAATGAATCTGGTGGGTTTCAGTTCCATCCTTTATGGGTGAGCAGGCCCCCCTCCCAGCCAGTTCTAGCAGATGCTTTTGAGTGGGCCGTGGAGGCCAAACTTCCACTAGAGGGGTCATCGTTGGGCAGGGTGGGGCATGCTGTAGGGGACAGTGAGGAAGCTTGCCCTGGCACTGTCCGCTGCTGTGCCTCTACTGTGGAGTCTCCAGAGCTGTCAGCCTGGTGCTGAGTTCACATCCTCTCCTCAGCAACATGAGCCGTCCCAAGGAGCCTGTTGGTGCCTCTGAAACAAAATGGGATTTTCCCACTTCCTCCTGCTGTGGGGCTCTCTCTAGTGATCAGGGTGGGTTTTGGTTTCTTACCCTGTTACCCTAACCCCATAACACTGGGATCTTTGTCAGCTCTACGTGCTAATCCCAATGCTGTTGCCCAGCACTGAGAGAGCAGGGGACAGGTGTAGGCACCAAGTCAGGGTTCTTTCAGACCATCACACGCCTGTCAGATGCATGAATTTGGGACTCTTGAATGTAAAGACCCCTCTGGAGTGAATCTAGGGCTCACCCATCTGGGAGCATCTCTGCAGCCAGCAATCACTACGGTGCCCCCTGGTGGGAGAGGCTGGGACTGCACTAGCCTGAATGCTCCCAGGCAGTTCTATGGCATGGGAGATCTGGGACTTTCCCCACCTCCCCATGACTCTGCGTTGGAGTGATTTCTCCCTCTGGCCAAGAGGAGCTGTGCCTAGCTCCCTTCAGAGACTGTCCTGGGACTCAGCCAGAGGGGGTTGATCAAGAGCAAAGAACCTCATGGGCCATTAGGAGCTGGCAATGCACATTGGTGTATCTGACTCTTGGGCTGCCGTGCCCAGCCCGGCAGCATGGGGGATGCTCACAATGCTCCCACGTGCTTCACTGACTGGTGCTTTCTTTCTCCCCTCATAGAAACCCTTCCCTGAAACAGCAGCTGTTCTCCTACGCCATCCTGGGCTTTGCACTCTCCGAGGCCATGGGGCTCTTCTGCCTGATGGTGGCTTTCCTCATCCTCTTCGCCATGTGATGGAGCCAGCTTCCTGCTGTGTGTTCCTCCTGTGTCTAGTCTATCGTGAGCGGCTGTGAATGTCCTAATGCAGGTGGGGGTATCCCTGCCTCCTAACCAAATCTGCCTGGCCTGGCCCTGACTGAGGGAAGGTGAATAAATACTGTATTGATCTACAGAACGCAGGTTCTTGGTGTGTTCTTGGCATACAGGGCGCCAGTCAGGCTGCTTCCTCTATGTGCGTGCACTAGGGTGACCAGACAGCAAGTGTGAAAAATCGGGATGGGGGTGAGGAGCCTATATAAGAAAAAGACCCAAAAAATGGGACTGTCCCTATAAAATTGGGACATCTGGTCACCCTAGTGTGCCCCCACCGGCTAGCTGATGATACGTGTACCTGCAGCCATGCTGCCTAGGGCTGTGCTGTGGGTAGACCTTGGTAAGATAAGGAGGGCGAGGCCTTGGCCCTGGGGGAGCTTTTAGGTGCTGCAGGACTTGGGATGGGTGACTCAATAGGGGGCATGCTCTCCTCTGAGTGGTGGTGGGTGCTGGTGAGCTTCAGGAAGTAACAGCTGAGGTTCTGACCATCTGTGGTCAAGTTCCCAGGCTGCTTTCCCACTAGTCTGGGTGGCTAATCCTCGTGTCCTGGCCAAATTCCGCTCTAGTCTTTCTTCAGGCTTGTTCTCCTATAATGGCACAGCAATCCCTTCAGTCCCAGGCACCTCCTCCCCACCCCCGCAGTCCAGAACAATCCGCATAAACCAAGATTAAAGTTGTTCATTGTTCTTATTAGGATGTGCTCATTAGGGAAGGGAGGGCATTCCCAGACTCTGGCCTCTCGCAACACTTGGGCTCTGAAAGCCAAACTGGGTTTTCTCTGCCTCTGACATCACAGTGGATAAGAAAGGGTCCACAGTGAGAGTGGCGGGGCGAGGGTGATGCTGCTCTGTATCTGTCCATCCTCCTGATGCCAATAGGTGCCAGTCTGTGGAAACCTAGTGAAATACCTCGGTCTAGGGAAGGGTCTCCATAACTGGTGCAGAGAGGCCTTTGCCTAAAACATCCCTGGCAAGAATCGAATACAAAGCAGCGGAGCTAGGAATTGCAGTTGCTCCAACTCAGGTGCTAGAGGCCTGTGCTCTAGTTCCACCATACGCAGAACTCCCTGGGCTAAGTTCTGTGACCTGTTATGAGGCTCCCCCATCTCTGGGGTCTTCACAGCACCTAAATGTTGGGGGAAGGCAACTCAGCCTCTTAACCTGCTTCAAGGAAGCAGCCCCTCTGCTATGAACTGAAATGGAATCCATCTGCATGGCCACAGGGACTATCTGACAGCAGAAGCCCAGTGCTATAGCCTTGAGGATACTCAAAGCTTAAATCAAGTTAGCCGTAGAGAGAGTGTCTTCAAAATGCCAAGCCAGAGGGTGCTGGCATGCCTCACTGGCTATGCTGTGATAGTCCACCCTGGGGCACTGGAGTGCTTAAGGCTATGTCTACACTGGCAATTGAATGACAACACCCCTCCCCCGAAAGACACAAGTTTTGCCACAACAAGTGCCAGTGTGAATAGCGCGTTGTCGGCAGGAGAGCGCTGTCAAACGCCGCTCGTTGGGGGTAGAGGTTTTTTGTCAGCGGAAGAGCAACAGTGCGTGACGTTTAGCGGCACAGCCATGGCGCTAAAAGCTGTGTAGTGTAGACATAGCCAAAGACTGAGCATCAGGCAGAGCTTAGCCAGCAGGGATGAACCTGGCCCCAAACTTGGTGCTTTCCAGACAGACACACAGACACACACTTTTCTGTCTCTGAAGAGCTTGTCTTGATATGACACAAAGCAGCCAGCAGGAAGAGATCATTCCAAAACCCACCGCGAAGGAGTATCTATAGGAGGCTGTTCCCGCTGTGGGGGCTGCAATGAAGCAGGTAGGAGAGGATCTGGGGTGATGTCAGACAGCAAAAGGAGGCAGTGACACTAGCCTTTCCTGGGCCCTGTGTGGGGAGCTATGCCTGGCTGCTGCCTGCCGTCATGCAGCTATTGCTCTGCTCAGGGAGAATGAGTCAGGGGAGCTAGCGGTGGAGCTGGGAGAGTCTTGCCTCCCATTTAGCCCGTCCAGGCTCGCTTAGGTTATAAATGGTCAGGGCAGCTTCCCAAGGAGTGTTTGCTGGGCAAATCCAGGCTCTGGGTTCAGCAGTCCAAATAGTTTCAGGGTGGTTGGCAGCTGCTGAGACCATTCCAGCTGGAACCGGCCTAGCTGCACATTCCTTCGTGGCTGCCTTGTGCAGTCTGCACTGGTCAGTCTTCAACCAGCAGCGTGGGAGGGAGACAAGTTGGAAGCAAGAGGATTTGCCAGCCCTCAAAGGTAGGGGCCTACCTCCCTAGAACCAGAACTGAGTCAGTAGTTGGTGAATTAGTTATGTAGGGCCAATCCTGCGCTAGCTACTAATGACACCTTGTACTTAGAACCCTGCCTGGGAAGCATCTCAGCCTCCCCTGTGGCAGATAATGTGCTACACTTGCATTGTAGTGGGGAGAGTGAGGCAAAGAGCCGAAGAGATGTGCCCTAAGGTCTCCAAGGGAGTGTGGTACAGCAGGGAGTAGAAGCCAGCTCTCCTGCCTTGTGGGCCTGTTTCTCAGCCTTCCCCCCTGGCAGCAGGCCGGTGCCCTCTGTACAATGAGTCTGTGCAGGACACGGTCTCAGTCAGTACATGAATGCTTCTGTCACACAAGCTGCCCTAATCACCGGCTCCCTTGCTGATGGGATCAGTGTGACTTGAATGGACCACAGAGCCTGTCTGTCCCTCACATAGCCCCCACCCCAGTGTACATCCAATACAGGCTTGAGGCACATTGACTGGGCTCTGAGAAGCCTGCTACTGCCTCTGATGCACCTAGTGGGGATGGGGAACCCAGGCTCTCGCTGTGCTAAGCAGGCATCCTTTATCGTCCCTCTGTCTTGTCTTTGTCAGTGGCTGATGCTTTGAAGGCTGCTCTGGGCATGCCATTTAGGTGTCAGTATTGTGTTCATTTGCACCTGGTCAGTGCTGAGGTTGGAGGGGAAGGACAGCTGCATTTTGACCTCACTCTGCTCGGCGCACCAGCAGCTCAAAGGGAAATGGCCCTTGCAACAAAGCTGCGGCCACCTTGGCTTGGCATGGCACATGCAACAGCCACTGGAAACTTCACAGCTAGTGTAGGCAAGGGGCTGTCTGTCTTTCAATTCTGGTTGTACGCTGCTTAGCACAGAGGGGTCCTGGTCCAGGATTGGGGGTGCTTAGGCACTACAGTAATACAAGTATCTCAGAGATGGCCTTGACCAGGAACCACTTGTGAATCACTGTTCGTAGTCCAGGGCCTGTGACACACAGGCAAGTACATGTGATGACTCTGGAAGGCTGTGGGGCATGTACAAGTCAGGATTTTAGAATTGGTCAGGCCTGCAGCACTCTAAACCCATTTCTCCTCCCTGCTACTGACTCGTGTTACATCTACCTACCTGATTTTTATGTAGGTACTTACACAGCCCTCACTGCTGTGGTATCTGATCAATGGGTTTGTCCTCACCACCTACGCTGTGAGGTAGCAAAGAATTAGCTCTATTGTACAGATGGGAAACTGAGGCACAGGGTAGTTTAAGTGACTTGCCCAAGATCACACCAGGCATAGGGAACAGAAGCCAGGTGTCCTCAGTCCCAGCCCAATACCCTTTCTATTGGACCATCCTCCCTTCTCATCCCTGCCTCAACACAGAATCATAGATATTAGGGTTGTAAGAGACCTCAGGAGGTCATCTAGTCCAATCCTCTGCTCAACTCAGGACCAACCCCAACTAAGTCATCCCAGCCAGGGCTTTGTCAAGATATATGTTTCACTCTATATGCATCCGAAGAAGTGGGTTGTAGCCCACGAAAGCTTATGCTCTAATAAATTTGTTAGTCTCTAAGGTGCCACAAGTACTCCTGTTCTTTTTGCGGATACAGACTAACACGGCTGCTACTCTGAAATCTAAGGATAGAGATTCCACCACCTCCCTAGGTAACTCATTCCAGTGCTTCACCACCCTCCTAGTGAAATAGTGTTTCCTAATATCCAACCTAGACCTCCCCCACTGCAACCTGAGACTATTGCTTCTTGTTCTGTCATCTGCCACCACTGAGAACAGCCGAGCTCCATCCTCTTTGGAACCCTCCTTCAGGTAGTTGAAGGCTGCTATCAAATCCCCCCTCACTCTTCTCTTCTGCAGACTAAATAATCCCAGTTCCCTCAGCCTCTCCTTGTAAGTCATGTGCCCCAGCTCTCTAATCATTTTCGTTGCCCTCTGCTGGACTCTCTCCAATTCGTCCACATCTCTTCAGTAGTGGGGGGACCAAAACTGGACGCAGTACTCCAGGTGTGGCCTTACCAGTGCCGAATAGAGGGGAATAATCACTTCCCTCGATCTGCTGGCAATGCTCCTACTAATACAGCCTAATATGCCGTTGGCCTTCTTGGCAACAAGGGCACACTGCTGACTCATATCTAGCTTCTCGTCCACTGTAATCCCCAGGTCCTTTTCTGCAGAACTGCCGCTTAGCCAGTTGGTCTCCAGCCTGTAGCAGTGCATGGGATTCTTCCTTCCTAAGTGCAGGACTCTGCACTTGTCCTTGTTGAACCTCATCAGATTTCTTTTGGCCCAATCCTCTAATTTGTCTGGGTCACTCTGGACCGTATCCCTACCCTATAGCTTTCTACAGCAGGAGTAAACAGAGATAAGCTACCTCTGACACACACCCCGCCTGCAATCAGAGCCTCAGGGACACCTCCTGCTGTTGTAAACCCCACAGCTGGTCCTGAAAACCTGGTGTTGATGTTGCTAGGGAACCAGGCTGCCTGGGTGTTTATGACAGCTTGGCCTGTGTTTTGGAAACCCACCCTCGATACTGAAGCAAGCCAGCCCAGCGGTTGATAAAACCTCAGGCAAGGGGTGTTAAATGACTTAGCAAATGCTAAGTAGCTTGTATCTGTGCTGCACTGACGTAAAGGCTGAGCAAGTATTTCTTTCATCAACAGGGCCCAGAAGGGCCAAGGCCTGGAAAAAAGACAATTAGTGCTGGTAAGACCCCGGAGGGGAGCCATCAGCTTGGTATAAATATACTCCATGGATTAGAGAGAGGTGTATCACACAGACAAAATACAAGTTGAGGGCC